ACTCGCTCACCGTCTACTTGGTCATCGCCTTGGCCTCGGTGTCGTCGCTCTTCCTGTTCTCGGTGGTGCTGTTCGTGGCGGTGAGGCTGTGCAGGCGGGACAGGGCGGTCTCTGTGAGTCGCTACTCAGTACCTGAGGGCCCCTTTCCAGGGCACCTGGTGGACGTCAGTGGTACTGGGACTCTGTCTCAGAGCTACCAGTATGAGGTTTGTCTCACAGGAGGCTCAGGAAACAGTGAGTTCAAGTTTCTGAAGCCTATTTTACCCAATATCCAGGGCCATTCTCCTGGCCAAGAAATACAAGAAAACTCCAACTTTAGGAATGACTTTGGTTTAGGCATTCAGTTAAAATAATCATTTTTCATATTCCACATTTTAATTTTTATGATATAAATTCAATGCATTGATTTTTCTGTCAACCTACTATTGAACTTTAAATTACATTAAAGTTGCCTGTAGGATTTTTCATGTCACTATGTTTCTACAAAATGGTACCTTATCTTTTCTTCGTTACTATTCCAAGATGCATGGTCTTAAATGTTGCTAATTAAAACACAGATGAGGTCAATAGTTGTACAAATCCTTGTGCTAGCATAGCTTAGAAATATATCAGAGGGAAAACAGTAGAAAATTAATTCTACATAATCAACTTAATTTCATTGTAGAGTTTCTTATTAGTTCTTAAATCATTAGATATATACAGAACAGTAATACACTAACACAATGAAGTATAATCTGGCAGAAAGAGAACTGGTACAATGAGAATGGCTCTTACAGCATTAAGCTGCTTTATGTTTTCTGTTGAAATTTTATATAATTGTGCTTCCTTTCATTAATATATTAGTATTAGTCTTAATAAAATTATTGTTATTCCCACTTCATTTCATTGATGTTAAAAGAGGAGGAAAATGACACCATCTTTATCTGGTGAGATGAAATGGCATGGCAGTGAAATTGGCTTTCACCTTTCAGAAACGTTGACCATCTGTGACAGAAACTGCAGTGGCCACTCATATCCATTTATCTTTTCTTCTTTAGAAACAGATCTCAAATTGTATTTATGGCATTAGTGTGCTTAGTCAAAAGAATACATTTGCCCAGCCTCCTTGCCATTTAGAATTGGACATAGTACTGGGTTATAGTTGATGAGATATATGTACAAATGTAGGAAATTTCCAAGAAGACAATTTAAGGAGAGATGACTCACCTCAGAAGGGGTCCCTTTTTCCCTTCCCTGCTCTTTGCGCCCTGATATATATATATATAT